AAGCAGAAAAATCGACGAATTCCAGCTGCTCGAGCTGATCTCCCGCACCCCTCAGATCTACGACACGAACAATTCCAGATTCAACGACGTGATGTTGAAGAAGCAGCTCTGGGAGGAAATTGCCGAGGACATGGAGAGTACAAGTGGGTGCAGGAAATTCTGAAAGATAGGGGAAAAAAAAAAGAAAAAAAAACTCGTAGTCGAAATTAGTTGGAAAAGGGAGAACCGAGAGAGATGCGCGAATGGACGTGCGGCGGGAGGGAGGAGGGAGAGAAACGGAGAGGGACCGTCTTGGGGTGAATTCGAAAACCGGGGAAAGCGTGTCTCCGAGCTTGGTGAGCTTTCTCCCATCGCTTTCCACCGCGAGGACGAGGGGTTTCCATGGAAATGCCGTGTCGGGGCAGGGGCGGACGCGAAGGGGGCGCCCCGAGCTTTGGCTCCGATATTCGATCGCGCGGTACCTCACCCTTGAAAATTCGATTTTCATCCGGGCCGCGACTCAAAAATTCACTTTCGCGGCCGCTTTTCCACAAAAGCCGGGCGCCCCCTTCGGTTCGACTTGATCTTCGAGGGCGCAAAAAATCCCGGCCGAGCGATCCCCATAACCCGAAACGACCGACGGGGGAGACGATAATTCCGTTCCGCTCTCCAGCCGACACGGTGAAGAAGTTGTGGAAGAAGTTACGGGCGGATTACCTGAAGAGGCGGAAAAACGTCGAGGCGAAGAGGACCGCCAAGATCGCCTCGCTCGACAAAGCTCTGGATTTCCTGGATCCGGCGCCGAAGTGAGTCGAGTCCCCGCCAACTAGTTCGCGCTTTCCATCGTTTTGCTTAATCTGCCTCTCCTTATTTCTCCGTTCTCCTTCTTCCTCCCCCTTAATTTCACAGGGAACGGGACGATTCGCGCGAGGACAACCGCGCGGATAGCAACAGTAGCTCCCCAAAAGCTCCCACGAGGAGACAGACGCGATCCACCTCGCGTCTATCCGCCATTTCCGAGGCCAATCTCTCGATCACGACGACCAGCAGCGCGGCTACGACTTTGCGAAACTCGAAAAAGCCCATGCCGAAAAGTCGACAGAGAAAACTACCGGATACGGAGACTCCGGAGCAAATCAGCTCTTGCTCCAGTTCCGGATCGGTCACGGAACCGAACGAGAGGTCCCCTACGCTCGCAGTTTAATTCAGAAAATAAGATAAGAATATAAGCTAACCTCGAAATCTTCTTCTCTGTTCAGGTACGCGACATCTCTTAAGTCGAGTCGCAGTTTGCGATCCTGCCGATCGGAATCGTCCAGCACGGAGATCTCAACGAAGAAAACCCCGGGGACCCCGAGACGCCTCGCGATAACACCCAGGAAAACCAAAATGGCAGCCGATAACGTGAACGCGAACATAGATTTTTTCAAGCGCATGGCTTCGACCCTTGATAAATTCCCCTCGGATCTGCAAACAGCCGTCAAGATCCAGATCTTCGATCTTATCGCCGATACGGAGAAGGACCTCTTGAAGATCTCGGTGACCCGTTAGGAAAATGTGAAAACAAAATGGCCGCTCGCCGGTGATTGCGAGCGAGACCCTGAATTTATTGTTATCATTAATATTTCTTATTATTAAGATTATTTCAGAGATTTTTACGTACAGTATTTTCTTCAGTATTGTTGAGCTTATTTTTATTCTGTACTTATCGTTGAAATAAATTCACTTCTACGGCAGGAGTTGTGCATTTATCGAAATCGTTAAGTTCGAAATTAGCTGCCGAAGAGGGATTCCATTGGCGTGATTTTAATTCGAAAATAAAGATTGGGCACGCGGAATAAATAGGGGAAAATGGGGAAACGTGGCTGCGCATGATTCTCGAAGGGGAAGGTTCCTCTTCGAACTCATTGATTTATATACTAACTGAATAGCTGATACGCTACAAAATGGTGTGGCGTTTTGAAGCGACCACAGCGCCTCTGGTTATGGGCACGTCAACTAATAGCGTAGAATTTCCACATCCGTCAAAACAACGCCTCTTTTAACTGCAGATGGCGTAAGAGGTGTCAAATTAATTTACTGGAAGAGAATAATTGTCATTTATACTGAAATACTTCCGAGAAATATTAACACCCAAGAAATATTAAAATACGAGAAAAAAGATAACCGTTTTGTTTTAGTCGCAGCTTTCTTACAATATGCCCAGCGCACCAATCTACCCGTAAATTATCTCTTCTGTCCTTTTATATCTTAAAAGGTTACCCTCACGAATTGACTGTTAAAAATATGTTATTGCAGCGATTAACGGTTCAAAACTTTAGCACATTCGCACACGTTACTTATTTACTATCATAAAGTATGTCATAAAATCTCAAAATAAAGGAAGGAAGCAAGAGAATGCAAGCATGCAAGGAAAGTCAAAATAGTCGAAAAACGAGCAAACCGTTCTTTTGATGTAGAAGGCAAATCGAAATCCCAAATCGGGGGAACCGCCATGACCCACTTTATCTTTCAAAAAGTCTGCTGCCTCGGTGTTTGCAGTCGCATAAAAGAAGTAACCGCGTGCTGAAGGAACGTATAAGAATCCCAGTGATTTAAGCGACATCAGTGATTTATGCGCTCGTTACGCCGTACTCGGTCTGGCACCTGAAATACAGTTTCGAATTTCGAGTCTGGCAGCGGACTTATAAACTCACCGTTCTCCTATTTTCTTTTTTTTATAAACTATCTGCGGACTCTCGAAGCCCCAGAAATAGAAAACTATTCATTCCACCCATTCCTCTTTCCCTGTCGAATTCTCCGATCGTTAGGAATAATTAATTCCCTTAGGAAAATTCTTTCACCTCTGAATTTTTTCCTCTTTTCCGTAGTGCAGCAATACCGCTTCCTTAATGGTCGAAAAAAAAAAAAAAAAAAGTGAGCAAGTTTGCTTCCGTAAACAATTTCTTGGTATATCTGGAATATGTTCAACTTCCAGAAATACAGGGCCGCGATTGGTCGGGCGTACCTGCAGCAAACGCGCAACACGCAATGCGCAGTTGCGCCCTGTGCGTGAAATAAAGGTGGTCCACATGTACGTACACGAAGGGTGCACCCTCGACACCCGGGATCGATAACTGAACTCTAGGGTCACCTGACGCATTTCATGATTTCGAAATAGCACCGCCGATTAATGCCTTCCCGAGTGGTAAAAAAGAAACTGGAAATTAACGCCCAGATTCGCGCCGTACCGAGCCGTGAAAAACAATTAGTGCGCGTAAATGAAAGCGCTGTCAGGTGTTGGCATTATTTTTCAAACTCTGAAGATCCCTCTCAATGACTCCCTTAAATATACCCCGAGTGTCTGAAAAGAATTCCCCGAATGAAATTATATTCTTTTTGGGAAATCCCGTAAATCCCGAAGTGTCTGGGTTCCATTACTAGGTTACAATGCCGTTGTGACAACAATTTGAAGGCCCTGTTGAGGCCACCTGTTGTTGGTGCAACGAAACACGATGCAGCTCCTGCAGACTTCTGGCAGCAGCATGTGGCACTATTGATTACAGTGCACACGACCGCTGTCAAAGGCACGGGGTGAGGATAAATACATGGACTTTTCCGAAATGTAGATCGAGGATTTCCGAGACGCCCCGCGACTCGGTCAAACTCGATGCAGTCGTAGGACGCAGTCCCGCGCGATCGAATTTCGGCAAGGCCATTTCCCCGGAGTTCCCTAAAAGCCGGAAAACAAGACGATAAATTCCGAGGGGGGGATTCTAACGCTCGAGAGATCCCTGCCGTACCGAACGCTGATAATTCGCGTTGGTCCGCCATGTTGGATCCCTATCTCGACCCTATCGAACGTTCCCTCCCCGAATCCGGGGCGTTATGGTTACGGCGGAACTTTGCAAAGGCCCTCGAAATCGAGTTAGAAATAGAAAGAGCGAGGCTAAAACTTTATCCGTATCCCGGATAGCCGGGCGGGGCTTTTCTATCCAAGTTCCGTGATAAACGTCCCACGGTTTTCGAAAACGCTCCCCGAAGAACGCTCCCCGGTCGGGCTGGGTATGTATAAAAATTCTCAAGGGGAGAAGACTGGGTAAATATTTAAATACGCGAAACGCGGTTGCTCCAATTTAATTTAAAAGCAGGAAGACATCACAGGTTTGGGTAAATTCATCAGAGTATGGAGTTCCTCAAAGAGGATATCCGTTTCCCCGTAGACACGGCCTTAACTTTGTTACATCTTGGAACTTCCCCCGGTTATCGTGACCAGCGACAAGTTCACGAAAATTTCAAAGTTTCCTCGACTGCAGGGAGGTACACGGAACTTCACTTGGAGTTTAATTAAAAGCCGGCTTTTTCGGCCGAAGTCACGCGCGTTCGGTTCTGCCGTCAGTTCTAAACGGTTGCTTATCGCGGGTTCGACTTTGCGGCATCGACAGCGACGGGATCGATTGTTTCTTTTTTCTTTCTTTTTTTATCTCTCCCTCTCTTCCGACGTAAAGTGGAATTCAAGAGTCCATAGCACATATTCCTGGCTCCGAGTTAACGCGATCCTCCGCCGGTCGCTTACGTAACACCTGTTACAGTTCGTTTTTCCAGCGCCGAGCCCTTCCAAGAATAGATCCGTTGGATAGGTCAAGTGTACGCCATTTTCCAGAGTGACTCGCGTGCCGACAATTTTATCCGCCCCGAATAGCGGCGAATTCGGCCTCGAATATTTCCGGACACGAAATAGGATTTGCATCTTTCCGAACATTACGTCGACTTTCTAAAACCGAGCGGTCCTCCCGCACGTCTCTCAACCCCTCGTATTCGCTCTCTGGATGTAAATTAGACGTCGGATCGGGGATGGCAGTGATTCTTCAAACGTGCGAGCGATCCGTCCGCGGATTAACATCGACAACTCGAAATTGACGGACCTCGATTGCCGCCGACTGCGGCTTCATCTGGAATTTTCCCCCCAACTCGTTGGTGCCTAAGGGTCCCAAAAAAAGTCCCGAAAAGTAAATCTAAATAACAGAATGTATATCAATTACCTTGAGATGAAGGACAAACAGGATCTCCTCATTTTCCCGTGGGCCACTAATGTTTTCGAGTTTTCGTGATCGCGCACCACTAGCGGAACTCGCTCTCAAGATGGCGTCGGAAACCGCGTGTAACCACGTGACCCGACCAACCGCGACAGTTCACGTATATCCCGTCGCCGGGGACGACAAGTGGATCACGACACGTCACAAATTCCCTCCACTTCCTTCCCCTAGCCGCCGGCTTCGATCTTCCGACGAGCAGCACCCTGGATCAACAAATTCCCGTTGCCGGGGCGATGGGATCAGCAGCCGATGCCCGATCCTCCCCGGGCGACGAATCCGAGACAAAAGCAAGGTCGGTTCTCCCCGAGAACTACTGGAGGCATTTCCAAAAACTACCGGATGACTCCCACTGGCCGACCTCGATCGCTCCTCTGGACGAGTAGCAGGATTTCGAAAGGGGCATACTCCCGGGTGTTGGGACGGTCGCCGCCACCGGCGACGTTAACTTTGTTCTCGGCTCGGTTGGCAACGGACAGCCCAGGGCTATCTTTAGGTCTGGAAGCTCGAACGAGGCATGTTTATCGATGCACGGTGACCCTAGGTTTGCAGCTCGACGCCGTTTGTGGGTGTCGTTGGACCAGTCCGGATCGCTCGTCCTCCGGAACCGCGGGATAGCCTCCGTCGTCGCTTTCCTCGAGTTCCGTCAACGCAATCGGGGAATCGAGTGGACGTGCTTCGACGAGGGGTCTATCTCGAAGTTTGGGAAAGTCTTGAGATGTGCTCTTTCGGTTCTTGCGTCCCAGTTCCTCGGGACAGGGGTTTTTCGCCAGAGCGTTGGAAAGGGATCCTTCGTCGAAGTGGTTCTATCGAGGGCAGACTCCGGGATATTTCGAGGGGGTCTCTTCGCCTGGGGCCAGAAACCGAGGGCAGCTGCTGGACGAGCTTCGGAAACCGGGGTCGTGGCTTGCGAGTCGTTAAGGATGACCGCCAGAGCGTCGTCTCCATCGAACTTTGCAGGCGAGGTTTGGGGTCACCTACTCCGGGTCGGGGGTCCGTCGACTTCTATTTCAGGGGTTAGCCTGCGGGTTCTTCCGAAGCGTTACAAGGACGTCCTTTCATGCGGCTTCTCCGAAAAGCAATCCGGGTTCCAGCTCCCGGCTGCATGGAGCATTATGCGATGGGTCGTCCAGGTGACGAGGAGCTGCTGCCGCGGATGCTGGGACGACTCGGCGTCGCGTGGTCTGGACCCTGAGGGTCCTAAGGGGCCGGGCTCGAGCACCACTCTCAGGGACCCACAGGGACTGATCATAGTTTTGCCCCGGGTCGCCTCTTCGAGTCCTCTAGACGTTCGGCTCGAACCCTCGTCCCGATGCCCCGTGCCCACCGAAAGCGACGTCCAACGTGAAGATATCAGGGGTCCTCATCCTCCCGGAATTCGAAAATCCCACCTCAGGAAGAGCCAAATCTCCCCGCGGACTCCGTGACAAAGAGAACGGCGAGACCGGAGACAAAGAAGATCATCTCTCGCCAACCACGCCACGCACTGGCCCAGCTCCCGGAACTCACCGGTAAGGGTCCAACTGAACCGGAACCGCAAACGGCGAAGAGTAAACAAGAAAGGTGACGGGAAGCCCGGAGATAACGAGGGGAAAGAGGGGAACACACACGACACACGGCCGATCGCGAACCACGCGAGTCGAACCCACGACTCTGGCACCGCTAGCAGGCCCGGCGAATCGTAAACAAAACAAACTGCTGGAGAGACGGCAGATCGGAACTCACGGCCTCTGCCCCGAATCGTCGTCGTCGACGTCGACGGTCGGGCCCAAAATCACCTGCGGGACCCTTCGGCGATCCGGTCGATCCCTCTTCCTCACTAGATCGCGAACCAGTCCGTGACCAGCCGTCGGTCCGGAAGCTTCTCGCCGCTGCTCGCCACTTTTCCGGTCGCGTCCCTCGTCGTGGGCTTCACCAGTCGGGCCCACTCGGAACGCCGTCGCCGAGAGCCCGTTCCTCCGGTTGGCGCGGGTCCATGGGACCGGACGTCCCGTAGGTCCGGTTCCGGGGTCGAGGCGACCGCCACGACCGCGAGGACCGCCAAAACCGCCAAAACCGCAGGGACCACGAGGGGTCCGAGGAGGGCCGAAGGTCGCCGAACGGGCCCGAAGTGGTCGGCGGGAGTGCCGGTGGAGCAGCCACCGATCGGTCGGGTGGCTCGTCGGTGCAGGTGGCTGCTGGCTGCTGGCTGGTGGTTGTGCCAGAGTGCGGGCTTACGACGGAATGAGAGGAAAGCTCAGCTTAAGGGGCGCAAGGGGCGCGGGGCGGTGGGCGGACGCCCGGCGGGGGCACAGCGTGGCATCGCCGACTGCGATGAGCGAGAGAGTTGCGCGTTATCGACCCATCCACAAAGCTATATTCTACCGCGATACGTAGACGCGTACGCGCCGCCCACGCACCTTCTCGACACGAGCACCAGCACCAGCGCCAGCACCAGCGACGACGGCGGACCGCCGAGGCGTCTTTTTGGGACTTTTTGCAACTTTTTGGGACTGGAAACGGAACTGGGACAAGGACGGGTGGTAAACAGCGGAGCGGCGTGGAGGTGGAATTTTTGAAATACTCTTTGCCGGAGGCTCGACGCTCGTTGGTCACTTCGAGTCGCGGTTTTGCAGGTGCACGATTAGAGTCGGGGGAAAGAGCGATGCCGGGAACGAAAAAATGTGTCGCAGGTTCCGACCGTGGCGGGAACCCACGGAGAAAGTCACCGGAGGAAATGGAGACTTCTTTGTCCGAGGAGTTTCTGGAACCGCTGTGTATGGAAAGTGGGGCAAGGACGAAAGTTCATCAACAAAGGAGCGCGCCCAGGAGATGTTTGGCATTTTTTTGGACAAACTCCGCCGACTATGGATGCCTTTTGCCGGGTTCCGTCGGAACGACGTCTACTGGCATTGTTCGGCTCTTCGACAATTAGCGTAAGATGCGCACGCGGTCTTGTTGCGCGGCGAGTCGAGGGCCGTTCTTCTGGGTTGAATTTATTAAATTCGTCCAGGTGGATTGTCGCATTTTCTGACGGGCCCTTAATTATTCGTAATTTACCGCGCCTCTTCCTCGCGGTTCGCCGCGGGGCTCGCGTTTTCTTCTCGCCCTGGTGACCCAGATCTCGCGCGGCCATTTTTGTGCCGGCCCCGACGCCGAGACGGGGCGAAAATCGGTTTCCTCTATTTTCGGGAGTTTCCAAAGGCGGCGAAATCCGCGCCACCTAGAGACCTCCGTTTCCCCGCCGCCGGTAAACGACACCGCGTGTCTATTAATATTCCAGCATAACCTCTTTCCTGGCAACTAGTCCAAACGGACAATGGGCGCGACGATAAAGCCTCCAATCACGGGACTCTCTGCAATAATTAATCACCCTCGTTGGCGATACAGCCGGCAACAAGCGTTACCTGCCCGAGTCCCAAATACTCGATTATTAATTACTGGCATTGCCGAATTATTATAAATTATCAAGCCTTATCCGCGACGTTGTCGATTGGAATCGATTTTCCTGTAGTACTTACTTTGCATAATTAAAGGCGCGCGATTCAAACGCTCGTCAGCGGGGAATTAATTTACATCAACTGTTTAAACGGTCCCTTGAAAAATGGAAGGGGGCTTGGTCACCCCCTCTCCCGCGTTTCCGCAACCGGCTTAACCTTTACCTTTCCCTAACCATTTCCGGTGTGTCCCATTAGGCGCACCTTATCCTGGGGCCGGCGGCTTATCAGTGGCGTTTAGCCGGCTCACCTGCTCGCACCTGGCTTTTCCGCGGCTATCGAGCCTGCGGATCGCGGCCGCTCGTTACGGCGATACGCGGAAACTGTACCGCCTTCCCACCCCCCGGGGGCTCGTAAAAGCGCGCGTGGCGTCGCGACGCGGAAACGCACCGCAACGCCGACGGTAACGCGGGCGCATTAACGGATGCGTTATGGCCGCGTTTTCCGCGGTAATTAGCTCGTTTGTCCCCTCGTGTGCATCTTCTCGATCCGTCCTGCGTTACCTTGCTCAGTTTCCCGTTTGCCCGTTTTTTTCCGCAGGGACGGAAAAGAGGAGTAACGAATCGATCGTGAGAGGAGGGCCAACCCCTTTTTTTCTTCCTCCTCCTAATTAGTTTCGATAATTCCCCCCGAGTGGGAGATATCCCTTTCTCGGGGATTTATTTTTTCTCCTCGGCGAAAGAGCGGCCGGATCGTCGAGTCGGCGAAAGAGCGCCCCTCGAAGGTTGCGAATGGCGGAACCTCCGGCGCGGAGGAGGGACGGGAAAACCGGGCGGAAAGGAAAAGAGAGGCCCGGAAAGAGCGTCGGAGAGTTTTCGAGGTTTTAATTAGCCACTTTGGGGGTTGCACGTGGCACCTTTCCGTCGAATGATCGATCGAGTGGCGCCTCTTTCGGAGCAAACCTCCGCCGCTTCTCTCCGCCGGGAGAGACAACGACGCCCTCTTACGAGCCTCTGAAGATTTTACGAGCGGGGTAGCCGCGCGCGTCCTAGGGCTGCGTATGAAAACGCAGATTGTCTTCGTAATTTATGGTGTAATACGCACGCATGGTGCCTCACGGTGCCGCTTTAATAAAACTGGACCCGAGGGCCGGCCATCAACCCCCCCTGGAAAATGTCGGATATTTATACGGCGCGTTACGTCCCGCCGGCCCGAGGAGGCTGCCAATTAAATATTGTACTTTAATCGCAGACCCACCGGGAAAACGGTAAACTCGTAAATATTACACGTGACTCGATGAAACGATAATAAATGGAGAATATTCGGTGTACTCGGTTTCCGAGTTTTTGGGAATACCGGGGGTGGGGAGCTGGGTCCGAAATGGATGGTTGCGAATAAAGGCCCGTTTTTGAATAACCGCGAAAGAAGGAATCAGAATGGAAACGCGAAAACCCCGGGCGTTGTACGTGAAACGAAAACGTAATGCAGATGGGGAAAACAGCGGCGAAAGCCGACGCCATATTGACGCAAGCTTCAGTTTAATTTCTCCACCGGCAAACATTGGATTTTCGCCCCCAACCCGAACCCCCCTCCCTCCGCCCTCCCGCCCTATTTATGCTCTCTCCTTTTTCTCCGGCTCTTTTCGAAACCGGGCCGACCATCCCGCAACGCACCTCCACCGCGCGGAAATACGCTCTTCTGCTCGGAATTTACCCATGCCGCCATATTTTATTAATTAATACCTTGATGTACCGAAGTTAACAGAGTTCCGTCGGACCCTAGGCATATAGGAAGAAATCTGACGAGAGATACCGCCGATCGACAGGTAGGCCGGAAATCGCGTCCATTTTCGACGAATTACCCGACTTTTTACCACGTAAGGAAACAGATTATCCGAGAAATTCGCCCGATTTTCTGGGAATCGCAAGAAATCGGGCGAAAAGTCGTTATCCGAGAGTCGGCAGGAGATTTGGAGAGTCCGCAGATTCCCGCCACCCGATTTGCAAGATCTCTTCGCGCGACGTAGAGGCGAGATCGGCACTCTCAAGCGAATTCCCCGAGCACGTGTTAAAGTCTTCCCTCTCTCTCTTCGTCCCACTATTTCTTTCCCTCCTCGACTCTTTCCCTCTCCCCCCGGCCCGGGCGGCACCCTCTTTTCTCCGCCGACCCTCCTCTCTTTCTAATTCCGAGAAGTCGCGACTTGGTACTCTCTTTTCCCGCTCCGCATTCTATTTCCGAAGAGTCGCGTTACGTAATGGCGAATCCCACTCGCGACTACTCGCGCGGTGATCCGTGCGTCGTGCCCGGGGTAAACGTCTTCCGAGGACGAGGACCCTAGATCTTTTGCATTCCCCGGCAAGATCCGCGAAATTCTCGACCCGGCTCCGCCGTTCCCCCTTTCCTATAAATATTTGTTCGATTAAAAAATTCCACGATCGATGAAAATCGCGAGTCGACGTTTAAGAATCGATAGTCCACGTCAGGGTGTGCTCTGTGAGGGATTTACCTTCTTGAGGACTCACGACAATTTCGTTACGCTAAATTTCATAATTAATTCTTTATTAATTCCCACGATCGCGGCCGAGTAATGGTGTTTCGTAAGGACGTTGCAATTCGGAGGGACAGTCGGGACTGACTCATCGGGAGCCCAGAGAGAGCAGGGCTAAGATAAAGGGGCATTCTTATGGCGAGATATGATTTCGCTGTGATGCGGTGTCCAGCAATGTTTTCAGGATCTCGCGAGGGGCGAAAGATTAAAAGGAAGTTACAATGTTAAGGCAAAACAGCGTATAGGAAGATGTAGGATAAAGTTCGATTACGCGTACTCGTTTTCACTGTACAGCATCCCTGCATCCGTCAAAGGACCCATCACGGCGGTCCCTCCGATCGTCGCGCTCGGGGGGCGCGCGTCCCGCGGCGGAATGCGCATGCGCGGGCGCGCGACCCGTATATATAGCGCCCGACGGCCGCCTTAAGCCGATTTGCCCGCGCGCGTGCAGGGGGCGCGGTCGCGACGTGTACGGATGCACTTCTGGGGAAATTATATATGCAGGATATAATAAGCCGCGAGCGCGAGCGGGGTCCTCGAGATATCGGCGAGTTATGGGCGGCCCTAATGGCCTGTACGCGGGGATGATTTACGGCGGTGCGGAATTCACGCGGATGCATTTCCCGTACGTGTCGGCCGCAATAAAGGCTGCGCCGCGTGTGTCGGGGGGTCGCGCCCGTGGCTGCGCGAAGGGGGCGCCCAAGGGCGCCCCCGCAGGTGGCGCCACCTAGAAACGCCGCGGCGCCCCTTAAAAACGTATTATGCCGCGGCTCGGATTTGAAAAACCGCCTTTATTTCCGCCCGCCATTTATAATCCGCCATCCCGAAGCCCCCCTTCCCCGGAAACTCCGCCGCGACGCTGCGACTGATATTCGAAGATATATCTCCTGGGGGTGTATTTCTTGCGGGGTGCCCCGAGGAACCTCCCCCCCCCCCCACCGCCCATGCCGCGTGGGAGATTTAGGGCATATCGGAAAGACCGCCCGTTGTATATTTATTTTTCACTTACGTATACCGCTTTATGTACTTTTCTTTTTTCTCCCCCTAATTAACCCTCTGCGCGCAACGCCGATTTATACATATATGAATGGTCGAATACCTGTAGCCAGGGTCGAGAGGTCGTCCGCGAATAAGGATATATCGAATTATATCGC